GTGGAAGAAAATATAGGTAGTATGCCTTTTGACATCAGTCTTAGCAATATCTTTTTGGATATGCCTCCTCAGGCAAGGGAAACAAAAGAAAAAATAAACAAATGGCACTACATCAAACTAAAAGGCTTCTGTACAGCAAAGGAAACCATCTACAAAACAAAAAGACAACCTACAAATTGGGAGAAGATATTTGCAAATCATATATCTGATAAGGGATTATTATTAAAAGTACATAAGGAACTCATACAACTCAACAACAAAAAAACAAACAACCCAATTAAAAAATGGGCAGAGAATCTGAACAGATATTTTTCCAAAGAAGATATACAGATGGCCAACAGGCACATGAAAAGATGTTCAACACCACTAATTATTAGGGAAATGCAAATCAAAACCACAATGAGATACCACCACCTCATGCCCACCAGAATTGCTATCATTTAAAAAAACAAGAAATAACAAGTGTTGGAAAGGATGAGGACAAAAAAGAACCCTCGTACACTACTGGTGGAAATGCAAACTGGTGCAGTCCCTATGGAAAACAGTACAGAGATTTCTCAAAAAATAAAAAAATAGAACTACCATATCATCCAGCTATTCCACTTCTGGGTATTTATTCAAAGAACCCAAAAACCTAATTTGAAAAGATATATGCACCCCTATGTTCATTGCTGCATTATTCACAATAGCCAAGACTTGGAAACACCCCAAGTGCCCATCAATGGACCAATGGGTAAAGAAGCTGTGGTATATGTATACAATGGAATACTAATCAGCCATAAAAAAGATGAAATCTTGCCATTCACGACAACATGGATGGACCTTGAGGGTATTATGCTAAGCAAAATAAATCAGACAGAGAAAGACAATTACCATATGATTTCACTCATATGTGGAAGATAATAAAAAACAACAAACAAATACATAGCTACAGAGAACAGATTGGTGATTACCAGAGGGGAAGGGATATGGGGGGGAGGATGAAAGAGGTAAAGGGGGAAATTTGTATGGTTACAGATGTAAATTAGACTTTTGGTGGTCAACATGATGTAGTCTATACAGAATTTGAACTATAATGATGTACACCTGAAATTTATATAATGTTAAGAACCAATGTTACCTCAATAAAAAAAAAAGAAAAGAAAAAATGGAATGGCATACTTAAGCTTTAACTTTTCAATATTTGCATTAAATGTAAATGATCTAAATATACCAATTAAAAGACTGGAGGGCCGGCCCTGTGGCTTAGCGGTTAAGTGTGCACGCTCCGCTACTGGTGGCCCAGGTTCGGATCCTGGGCGAGCACCGATGCACCACTTCTCCGGCCATGCTGAGGCCGCGTCCCACATACAGCAACTAGAAGGATGTCCAACTATGACATACAACTATCTACTGGGGCTTTGGGGGGAAAAAATGGAGGAGGATTGGCAATAGATGTTAGCTCAGAGCCGGTCTTCTTCAGCAAAAAGAGGAGGATTAGCATGGATGTTAGCTCAGGGCTGATCTTCCTCACAAAAAAAAAAATAAAAATAATCCTTAAAAAAAAAAAAAAGACTGGAAATGGCAGTGTGGATAAAAAAAATACATGATCAAACAATACTGTCTACAAGAAACACATTTCAAATATAACAATATAATTAGGTTGAAGGTAAAAAGGATGGAAAAAGATATACCATACAAAAAGTAATCAAAATAAAGCAGGAATAGCTATATTAATATCAGATAAAGTAGACTTCAGGGCAAAGAAAACTACCAAGGACATTACATAATGATAAAAGGGTCAATCCTTCAAAACGTGGTAATCCTAAATGTACACACCAAACAAGAGAGCTGCAAAATATGTGAAGCAAAAACTGATAGAATTGAAAGGGAAAATAGACAAATCCACAATTATAGTCAATCCACGATTCATAAGCAACTAGACAGAAGATTAGCAAGGATATAGAAGAACCAACAACACCATCAACCAACAAGAACTAATCAGCATTTGTATAACACTCTGCCCAGTAAGAACAAAATATGTATTCTTTTCAAGAGCTCATGAAATATACACCAAGATAGACTATATCCTGGTCCATAAACAAACCTCCACAAATTTAAAATAAAAAATTGAAATCATTCAGAATGTGTTCTCTGACCACAAGGGAATCAAACTAAAAATAACAGAAAGAAAGCGGGAAAATGTCCAAACACTTGGAAACTAAACAACACACATTGAAATCATTCATGGGTCAGAGAGGAAGTCTCAAGGAAAATTTAAAAAGTACATTGAACTAAATGCGAATAAAAACACAACATATGAAATTTTGTGGGATACAGGTAAAGCAGTGTTGAAAAATAAACTTATAATGTAAAATGCTTACATTAAAATGAGCAAAGTTTTCAAATCAATCATCTAAGTTCCTATCTCAAGAAACTAACAAAAGAAGAGCATAATAAACCCAAAACCAGCAGAAGGAAAGAAATAATAAAGATAAGACCAGAAATCAGTAAAATTGAAAATAGGAAAACAAAAACAAAAAAACAACTTGCAATGAACATGTGAAAACCAAATTAAAAAATACAATATCATTTACAGGACTTGGATCCTGAAATCTACAAAACACTGATAAAAGGAAGAAATGAAACTCCCTATTTGCAGATGACATGAGAATCTACATAGAAAATATCAAAGAATCTACAAAAAATCTCTTAGAACAAATAAATCAGTTCAACAAGGTCACAGGATACAAGATCAACAGACAAAACTCAATTGTATTTCTATATACTAGCAACGAACACATAGACACCAAAATTTAAAACACAACACCATTTACAATTGCTCAAAAAAAAACAAAATACTTAGGTGTAAATCTAAAAAAACATGTACAGAACTTGAATGCCGAAAACTACAAAATGCTGATGAAAGAAATCAAAGATCTAAATAAATGGAGAGACGTATTGTGTTCGTGGATTTGAAGACTCAACATAATAAAGAGGCCAATTCTCTCCAAACTGATATACATATTTAACTCAATTCCTGTCAAATTTCCAGTAAGATTTTGTGTATAGACAAGATCATTATAAAATTTATATAGAAAGGCAAATAAAGTAGAATAACTAAAATAATTTTGAAAAAGAAGAAGAAAGTGGGAGGAATCACTCTACCCAATTTCAAGACCTACTCTAGAGCTACAATAATCAAGACTATGTGGTATTGACAGAGGAATAGACACATAGATCAATGGAACAGAACAGAGAACCCAGACATAGCCACATACAAGTACAGATAACTGATTTTTTACAAAGGTACAAAAGCAATTCAATGGAAGAATGATAGTCTTTTTAACAAATGCTGCTGGAGCAATTGGACATCCATCAGCAAAAATATGAACTTTGATCTAACCATATCTTATACAAAAATTGACTCAAAACAGATCATAGACTTAAATGTAAGATGTAAAACTATAAAACTCTTATAAGAAACCATAGGAGAAAATCTTTGGGACCTAGGGCTAGGTAAAGAGTTTTTATACTTAACACTAAAAGCATGATACATAAAAGGAAAAATTGACAAATTGGACTTCATTAAAATTAAAAACTTTTACTCTCTGAAAGATCCTAAGAAGATGCAAGACAAATTACCACCTGGGAGAAAAATATAAATTTTGCAAGCCACATATCCAACAAAGGACTAGTATCTAGAATACATATATAAAGAATTCTCACTACTTAACAATAAAAAACAAACACGAGGGCCGGACCCGTGGCTTAGCAGTTACGTGCGTGCGCTCCGCTACTGGAGGCCAGGGTTCGGATCCCGGGCGCACACCGACGCATCGCTTCTCTGGCCATGCTGAGGCCGTGTCCCACATACAGCAACTAGAAGGATGTGCAACTATGACATACAACTATCTACTGGGGCTTTGGGGAAGGAAAAAAGGAGGAGGATTGGCAATAGACGTTAGCTTGGAGCCAGTCTTCCTCAGCAAAAAGAGAAGGATTAGCACGGATGTTAGCTCAAGGCTGATCTCCCTCACCAAAAAAAAAAACAAACAAACACGACCAGACATTTCACTGAGTTAGCTAATAAGCACATGCTTAACTATCAGAAACCTGCTATTACCCTGCTTTTCCCACCAATCTTTAGCAAAACTCCCCAACTCCTAAGGGCACCCCCAGCCCCCTCTTACCTCCCTTTTTTCCCTCTCCCAGCCCAAGCCTGCCTTCCCTGATTTGATCCTCATAGGCTCTCTCTATTCCTAAATTAGCACTCCCCTCTACTCCATGCTGTGGACCTTATCTTGGTGTCAGGAGGAAGGCAATCCTGGGGCAGTTAAATCCCACCAAGTCAGGCCGGCCACTGAGAAGTGAGGAAGGGTGGTAAAGGGAAGAGGGATTTTCAGGCATGGGTAGAGGGACGGATACAGCTGGGTGCAGGCAGAGGGATCTTTCTGGTGCTCCCCTCATCACATCAGAGTCCACCAGGTTCTCTCTCCTCTCTTCTCAGATTGGCAAGAGGAGCTGCAGCATGGACTAACTTAAGTTTTTCTATTCCCTAGGCAGCAAAAAGGCTTTGCCTTGCAAACCAGTGTTAAATGTGCCGCTTAATGGCCAGCAAGCTGACCTCTACTTATTTCACAGCCAAATATGGTCAAAGTGGGGGAGGTATGGCTGGCTAAAGGGCAAGCCAAAATATCCACTGCAGAGGGGAGAAAAATTGGTGTGTGCGTGTGTGTGTGTTTATGTGATCCATAGGGACAGATACACCCAGAATTAAAACAGTGGAGGGTGGAGGCCTTCAGGATCCTTTGAAACTCCCAGGTGGAACCCAGGTCGGACATACATCCTGCAGGGACCTTTCCTGCCCAACCAGGAAATCCTGTGTTTGTCGAAAGGACTGCACAGAGAAGCCCTGACCATTGTCCTTCCCGAAATCTGCCAGTCAGCCCCTCCCCAGCCTGTGGCAGCCGCCCCAGGCAAAGGAAGAATAACTCTGGAAACGGTGTTATCAGCATCCTCCACGGACTTCCTCACCTCCTCTCCAGCCTCGTTAGCCCCAAGCTCCTTAGCATCCTCAAACAGAAACCTCGAAGGCTGGGATGGGGTCAGCGCCCTGAAGCCAGCCCCCTCTCTTTTGCCAAGACCTGCCTCTGTGCAGCCCTGAGAGGGCGGCCGAAGGCTGCAGCTGGAGTCCTGAGCCCGAGATGGAGCCCTGGCTGGGGTCTGAGGCTGCCGCCCTCTGCCCAGGCTGGCCGGCCCTCTTGCTGTGGGTCTCAGCCCTGAGCTGTTCTGTCTCCTCGCCGGCTTCTCCCTCTCCTTCTCTGGTGCCCCGAGTCAGAACCAGCAACAATTTTGGAAGGACTTTCCTCGGTCTTGATAAATGCAATGCCTGCATCGGGACATCTATTTGCAAGAAGTTCTTTAAAGAAGAAATAAGGTCAGAATCTCAATCAGATAACTTGCAGGGGCAAAATTCTGTTCCCTTCATGTGAAGATATGTGCAGGAGTTTGTTGAAAATGAGTCAGTATGTAATTTAAGGGTGGGAGCTGAAGCAAAGCCACTTAATCATAGTGGTGATGGGTTGAAGTTGAGGGAGGAAGGAGGGTAAGATGTGAAGCCAAATTCCAGCCCTAAATGCTAAATCCAAAGTTTCCTTTTGAAGTGGGAGCTTAAAGTTTTCTTTGCTATGAATGGAGTAGCCTGGGATTGCTGAGTTTACCAAGTTCATTTCTCATAGGGGGAGGGAAATAAAATGTATAGAAAGCCTACTCTGTGACAGACATTTTAAAGCTAGTTTTATTTACGCCTTACAACCATCTTGGTAGTTAGTGTTTTGCACCCATTATTCAGATAGTGAACTGAGACATAGCAAGATTAAGTGACTTACCCAAGGTCGTCACCTAATAAGTGGCAGATCTGGGATTCAAACCAGGGCAGTTTGTTTCAAGGTTTCTGAACCAGTTTTCTGTTGTAAGATGTTGCCTTGATCAGAGGAAAACCCAAGTTAATAAATTGCGATACACATGGTTCTCATCAAAGAATGCTATCACACAGTCAATGAGCCTTGACTACGGCCAAGACTCAGAAGATGCTGTAGTGACATTGCTATAAAACTCTGGTCATTGCCCTCTAGGGGCTCAGGAGGAGGGAGCCATGTTACAAATAACAATAACAAGGCCTGGTCTGATGCAGGTCAGAAGTGGAGTGTAAAGGACCTCCAGGAGCTCCAGGGAGGGGATATTAATTCCAGATGGGGACTAGGGAAGGGCTTCTCCAGGGGAAGGTATTCTGAGCAAGGCCTTAAAGGATGAGCTGAAATTTGGTGGGAATGGAAGGGCTTAAGGTGGAATGACCAGCTTAAGCAAAGGCCCAAAGTGTGGGAAGAGGTGAGAAGCACTTAGTGGATGGAGCATGGGGTGTATGCGGAGGCGTGGCGGAAGGAGGAGGTTGGAAGGGTCAGATGGGGGACAGGGCGCCTTGGATGCCATGCCAAGGAATTGGGACCTTAACCTCCAGGCCAGTGGTTCCCAGCCTTTTCAATACCAAAGATCCTGTGTAATAGGCCTCTTCTCCTCTGCCTTCCCCCAAGGACCTACCTCAGGCTTGTAAGATTTGGTGACCAAACAAAAGGCATTAATTTACAATAATTTTGTTTCCAATCTGTATTAACCAAAGATATATTGGATTATGCAACTAAGTTACTAAATGGAAGTAACAAATAGAAAATATCAATCAAAAATGTTGAACTTCTTTTGCAAGATGGTAGATATTGTATGGAGTTGATGTGGACTTTCTCTATTAGGCCTTTTTTAAGGCATTTTGAATATTGAAAAGTTGAAAGACCCCCAATTGGGGAAGCTCTATTGCAGGCAATGGTTGAGGGTGTTAAGTGGGATAGGGACAAGATGAGGCCTGTGCTTTGGCAAGATCTTATGGAAAGCAGTGTGCAGGATGGACTGGTGCCGCTGGCAGGGGCTGCCAGACCAGTTCTCCTAGTCCAGGAGAAAGGTCACAAGGAACAAAGCAGGGCAGGAAGAATGCGAGTTGGTTCAGCTAGAGAGTCGTTTTGTTGACCAACTCGATGTGCGAGGAAGTAAAGATGGAGATGTTGAAAGTGAACTCAAGATTTCCCACCTAAGAAATGGAATGGAGAGGACCAAGAACACAGGTGAAGTGGGGCTGATGCCCTGGAGAAAGGAGGCAGTGAGAATATGGACATAAGATAGGAGGGAGGAAAATTAAGGGATTCAACTGAAGAAGAGCTCCAGGTTCACATCCTTCTCCAGATAAGTAAATAAGAGTTTATGAATCTTACAACTGACTCTTCAAGTAGCAATAAATGAAGTTTTTCTCACCGGCCAGGTATTGGCCAAATTCAGGAAGCATTTCCCCAAATAGGTTTGTGTTCCAGCAGAGTTCAGGATATTACTTCACCCTCAGAATTCATTTTCCATGTGTGCCTGAAAGGGAAGTGTGCAGTGGCAAGCAGGAAAACACCAGGCGGGGCACGTTGCGGTTTAGAGCTCTTCATGTTGGAATGCACATTCCTCAGCACAAAGAAGCAGAGAGAGGCAGTGAGTGGGTCTGGGGACACGGACCTTTTCTCTACATTGTAAATAACTTTTTCCTTATTTTAAAAGTAATATCTGTTTATTTTAGAATTTTCAGGAAATATTGATTAAAAAAAGCACAAAATAAAAATCATGTATAATTCCTCCACCAAGAGATCACCCCTTAGTTAACATTTTAGTGTATATCCTTGCCACCTTTTTTCTAAGGATGGATTAAAAATTTTTTCAAGAAAAATGCGATCATACTATGTATACTCTTTTATTCTTTTTTTGATGAGGAAGATTGGCCCTGAGCTAACATCTGTGCCAATCTTCCTCTACTTTGTATGTGGGATGCCGCCACAGTGTGGCTTGATGAGCAGTGTGTAGGTCCATGCCTGGGATCTGAACCCTCAAACCCAAGGTCGCCGAAGTAGAGCACACGAATTTAACCACTATGCCACCAGGCCGGCCCCCCATATATACTCTTTTGTAAACTTTTATTTAACAATGCATCAGGAATGCCTTTCCACATTATTAACTATTCTACACAATTTGATTTTTAATGGCTTCATGGTATTCGATTGCATCAATCAACCACAATTTATTAAACTAATCGTCTATCTTGAGACATTTAGGGGTTTTTTTCACTTTTCAGTATTATAAACAGTGCTATGTTGAACATCCCTGTTTCTAGAGTTTTGTGCACAGCAGTGATTAATTCCTATGACAAACTCCTAAAAGTAGAATTTCTGTGTCAAAAAATGTAGCAAATTTTTAGGATTTTGAGATATATATATATCCAAATGGAAACTTCTACCTATAGAGCTCACTTCTTGCACACTCACAAATGTTAATATTACTACTATTTTTACTTTGTATTTTTTCTGAGTTGAGCCCTTTTGTCAGGCTTATTGGCCATTTGTATTTCTTCTTTGCTAAATTATCTATAAGTTCACATCCTTTCCCTCTCTTTTCAATGGTATGTTTATTCATCCTGTTCTTGTTCATCTCTAAACATTTCTCTACTTTTAAAAATAATTATGATGATACCTTAGCATAAAGCCCATCCAAAACTCTCAGACATTTGGCTGAAATGCTATAGCCAGGCTAGCATGGCCTGGTCTTCACTAAGGACTAGACAAGGCTTGTTGTTCAGCAACAAATGAAGGGTGAGCTTCCCAGGCCAGCTTGGTAGGCTGAAGATGCAAGATTGATAGATGGAAGTCACCTTTCCTTCTTTTCCATATCTTTTCTTTGGTGATAAGGCTAATGATGAATCCGATGCTTCCTATATTCAACCATTGACCTTTGAACATTTGAATGTTTCCAGTACCAATTTTCCCATGCATTCCATGTTGAGTTTCAAATTCTGAAGGAAAAGTTAAGGGAAGCTAGAAAAATGAGTAAATCTGGTTGACATATTCTTCTTACTGAAAATATACCTATGTGTGAAATCCTAAGTGATCACACCAACTGGCAAGATCTACCAGGATCTGACTGATCAGTATTTGTGTACATGCAGGTAACAGGTTGGGGTGGAGGGTTGGGGAGGGGTACTTAGTGACAATATTTCTGATCAGAATCACTCCTAGGGATTCCTGGGCTCTTACCAGGATGGATACCTTACCTTGCCTTCCTTAGTGTACCTACTTGGCCTTAAATCCCCAGCCCCCACTCCCAAAGTCTTAAAGAATGTTTAAATACTTCTAACTGAGTGGTGGAGAGCTCATAGTAAAATAATTAAATCATTAGGCTTGATTTTGCCTTCCCTTCTCCCTTGCCCTTGTCTGCCTCTTCCCCTCAAAAGATGATAGTAATTGCTGCTTTAACTCATTTCCTCAAATGAACTCAGAGGTCTTGGGAGCTGCATGGCCCCAGAGCTTATGGCAAAAGCATCCATCTACACATTCAGTCATCCATACATGCACCCATCTATCCATCTACCCGTTCATCCGGGCATCCCCCCATGCATTCTTCCACCCAACCATCACTCTGGGCATCCCATCTACCCAGCCCTCCATGTATCCCTCTACTCACTTATCCATCTATACATTCAAATACCCATCCATCCATCCATCCATCCAACTAAAATGTGTTGGGCACTAACTTGGTGCCAAGCACCCTGCTAGGCACTGAGTTACAAAGTTGAAGGAAGCCCAATCCTGCCCCTGAAGAAGTTTACTTTCTATTGAGAAGACAGAGACATGAACCAATGATTAAAGCAAGTATGAGGACTATCAAAATATGGGACATGTGTGTCCTGGGAGAGTGTCATGGGAGCATATGGAAGGGAACCTATCTCAACTGGGGGATGAGGGAGTGAGAATCAGAAGAGATGGTACCTACGTGGGTTTTAAAGAGTTGGGTAGGGATTATCCGGGCAAGAAAGAGGAAGAAAGTATCTCAGACAAAGAGATTAGCACATGACAAGGTGAGCAGAGGCCAGAGGCCCAAAACAATGTGGCTTATCCAAAGATGGTCAGTGGTTTGGTGAAGTCAAAGCAAGCTTGTAAGGGGAGCAGCAGGAGATGGGCCTAGGAAGAGCATTGTGAACTGCTCTAAGGAGTAGGAACTGTGTCCTGAGAGCTTTGGGAAGACGCTGGATGTTTTAAGGGTTCTGTACAGAGCTGAGGGAAGAGACGCAAGACATATTTAGGAAGGCATGTCGGCAGACCTAGTGTTTGACTGGATACAAGTGTGAGAAGTTTACAAAAGAGGGCATTTTATTCTCATTCTAACACTGTTGCTCTCCCCCACACCTCCACTCTGCTCTCCATGTTGAGGGGCTCGAGGGGATTGGACCACACGACCTTTATGCTTCCTTCCAGCTCTGGGAAACTATGATCCTGCTTGTCCATCTTTCAGCCCAATAAGAAACTAGGCCAGCCTCAATCCAAACACGCCCACGATCTCAGTTCAGAAGGAAGATTAGAACTCTGCCTCTGTTTTGTGGTTTTCCAAATTCCAGGATATTAACATTTTAGTGAATAAAAAGCAGGGCCATTTTCTCATTGATTCTTCTATTCAAAAAAGTAGGTAATCAAAGTTGTAAGAATACACATTTTTTCCCATTCAACGCTCTAAATTGATTACCATTTTGAACAGGGGGGAAGTGTTGCCTGTACACCTGTTTATTTGTCCTCAATTGGTCCTTAGCGAACGCCTTGAGCCACTGCTGAACGTGCACCAGGCATTCATTACAGGTCACCTACCAAGTCAGTGCTATCCTCTCAGCAGAGCCTCCTCAGGAGGTGGGAACAGAAAAAAAAGACAATGAGCTTGTCCCACAGGGCAAGAAGTCCCTCCCCATGCCACTCTCACCAACCGGGAGACAAGGGCCCCTAAGATCTGACCCCTCTGCCACTAATTGTCTGTGATTCTTTAGACAAGTCACCTTCGATTTTCTCCTCCTTAAAATATGATGGGGAAGGGGACAGGGGCAAAATCATCCTTAAGGACCCTGCTGGCTAAAACCCCTAATAATGTCTCCAATCTGTTCCCAAGAGCAAATTCATAAAATGGATGATAGAGGACTAAGCAGAATGCCACTTCCTCCAATTCCTGGCTGTGTGACTTTGGGCAAATTACTTAACTTCTCTGTGCCTCAGTCTCCTCATCTGTATGGTAATAATAGCACCAACCTCATAGGTTTGTTGAAAGGTTTAACTGAAATAATACACATAAAGTATTTAGCAAAGCCACTGGCACACTTAAGTGTTTCACAAATGTGTGTTGCTCTTATTGTTATGTAAGAGAGCCACCTAGTTTTAAATCCTTAGTCACAGGCCCTGGTGAGGGTGAACCCTCATGAGCAAGAGCAGCTACAGGAAATAGACAGACAGGCCTGCCTCTGGGCGCTGGCCCTTCCTTATCCTCCCAGAAGGGAGGGTCATTTCCCATGGTCGTCCTAAAAATTCCAGTAAAATTGACTCGTTGTTGGTTTACAGTGTTTTTTGTCTTTTTAAATAGATGTGGGGCAATGTTGTTGAACAGAATTCTTTGTGCCTACTTCCATTGCAATTTGAATGGTCCTGCATTGCAGAAGGCGCTTATTGACACTTTCTGCTAGAGCACCTTCTTTGAAAAGCTTGCAGTCTCTTAGGGTAAAGCTGTGTCATATAAGGGAGAAAACAAAACAGTCTAGATTTGGGGGCTAATCAAACTGCTAATTATTCCAAAACTCATTATCATGAGTTTGCCCAGTAAAGCCCAATAATAAGAATCTTCACATTCTTATTTAAATTAAAAATATAACATATCTTATAATCCTAATTTTCATTTGCGGTATGACCCGCAATTATTAATAATAATGAAGGTAAACGTTACCTTAGTAATTTTTCATATATAAATCGGAAGAAGATTTAACATTCTTCCCTAATGGAAATGTCTGCACACAGCTGGAGGAATGACTGGAGAAAAGGGCCAAGTGGGGCCTGGGAAATCAGCAGGTGGTAATAGGCCGGCGCCTCTCCCCTGGACCGAGAAGACTATTGTGTGGAATTACACACCTCCTGGATCCCAGATAGCTTTGAATTTGGTGACCCTTTAGCAGCCCTGTTCCCTGAGACTTGGTTGGTACTGATAACTTAAATCTTTGGACTGAAAGCAAAATTGATGGGGCTGCCTGGGGTTGGATATGGAGAGGCAGTGGTCTCCCCAGTGAAGGCTCAGAAGCCTCTTCAAGAACTATGATTCCAAAACCCAGCCGTTGGTAAGATGGTGGGCAGTTTCTGGAACCAGTGCAGGGAAGGGGAAAGATGATGGGTTTTGCTGATGGACAGCCCTGGGTTTGCACCCCTGCTTGGTAACGTATTGTCTGACTTTGGGCAAGGTGCTTAAGCTCTATAAGCCTTAGTTTCTACATCTGTAAAGTGGGGATGGGGTATTAGGAGAATCAAAGGTACCAGCATGTGCAAAGCTGCTGTCTTTACATGGAGTAGAAGTTCAGAAAGCCATGGACAGTCCTTCTGTGCCAGTTGTGTGAAGAGGATAAAGTTTGTGTTTGGCATGCACTTCCCTCATCTTTTCTGAAAACCCATATACACTTCCCTAATTTTGAGAAAACACAAACAATCATTTCACAAAAAGTGTTCGGGGTGCCCCAGTCTAAAGAGGAGAAATAGATCAGACCAGATGTTGTCCCCTGTCTCCCTGTCCCCGGGCTCTACTGGCTCTGGCTCTGGCTGTGTGGCTAGTCCCTGCTTAGGCCCTGCTCCATCTCTCCAGCTCCCAGGCAGACCCTAAAAGGGCTATTCTTCCAGGTTTGACAACTGGCTGGCCTCCCACCTCGGACTGCCTTCCGACTACTTGCCTTCTTACTCTGCAAATTACACAGATGATTCCAAAACCTGGCGCCCTGTGGAGATCTCAAGGCTGGTCAGCAAACAGCAAAACGAGATCTCGGACAGGAGAATCTGTGCCTCTGCAGCAGCCCCAAAGACCTGCAGCATCGAGCGTGTCCTGCGGAAAACAAGGAGATTTCAGAAATGGCTGCAGGCCAAGCGCCTCACGCCGGACCTGGTGCAGGTGAGTGTGATAGCCATGGTGGGTGAGGGGGGGCATCCATTCCCATCTCATAGCTCTGTATGGGGAAAAGGAGTTGTGGTCTGTCTAAAGTGGGACAAAACAATGTCATGAAACAGAGTGGCTTGTGACAAGACAGGAACTAAACAAGGTTTAGTTATAGGGACCCATCCCATTGTCATCCTCCATTCTGACTGATGTAACCCTCAGCAACTGTTTGGGAAACAGCTCCTAGCTGCCACCTCTGGTCTGAAGATCTGACAGGATGACCCTCACCAGCCCTCCCCCCTGACAGGCATTAACTCACCTACAATCTTCTCAGGGGGCCTTTGCCAACCCCCAGACTGCACCCTCTCTTGGAATCTCCCATATACATCCTTTCTCACAATCCAGAGAGCCCATTTGAAAATCAGCTTCCTCATCAATCTCCCACCGTAAAGAAGAGCCAAACCTCAGTCATTACAAAAGCAGACTCTGATAACACAGCTCCCTCTTCCCACCTGAGAGCTCCCACCCACTCCCACGAGTAGGCTTCCCTCAGAATGACAGCATATTGCCAGTGCATCGGTCCCCTCCTGCACCACTGTCTCCAGTGTCATCATTCTTCATACAAACCAGCACAGCCATGTACCTTCATACACATCCCCCTGGGCCCCTTGGGGCAGAAGATGCCACCTCAGAGGATTGAGGAGCTACTCACCTTCAGCAGAGATGGGAAAGATGGGGCTCACCCCAACCTCCCTGCCGTGATGAGGCTGGAGGACTTAAACTGGCCCACTCAGGCGGATGCAGAGGCTCCTTCTCACACTCTCTGGGCCACTAGCCCCTTCACATGGACACCTAAGGCTGCCCAGGTGACTTCTGAGTACTTCCCTTGGCCTCTTCAAGACGAGGGGCGTGGAGCAAAGAAGAACGACTGGTCCCTGGATATCTCATCCATGCGACAAGACCATCTGGCTTTGCTCTTAGGTTGTGTGGACACTGCTTTGAAATCAGGAGGAGTAGAGTTGCTGGTAACATGGCCGTCATCTGACATTGAGCTTTCCAATGTTATCCTTTTACACTCTGCACTCCATAAATCTCCCTGGCATGGAGTGGAGAGAGAATGAGCCAGAGGAAGTCAAGCTGTTCCCAGGCCAGCTAGGTGCTGGCAGGATCCAACATAAGGATCTTGGAGTTGGTGCAGGAGACAAGAAGTAAAGGTCCAGGTGGCAAGAGCCCCAAGGGGGCTGCTCTACACTGGGCAGAACTAGAGGACAGGTACCAAAGCCCACACCATGGTCCACACCCTAGGTGTAATCCCTCTGCACCTGTGCCTGCAGACAGACCCTCCATGCACTGGCCTGGGTACCCACCATCTGCCATTCGCAGGCTGGCCACATCTAGTACTGAGGCACTGGAAGGACTAATATGAGACCTCCTTTACTTTGCCTCCAATATGTGTTCAGGAACAGATAGAAATCCTCAGGAAGAGCAAAACAAGATACACAAGGAATTGTTTCAGAACCTCTTGAAAATCCCATCACCTCTTCCTGCCCCCATCACTGTCAGGTCCACACTGAAGGGCACAGTTCCTCCAAGGCACTGGCTCTAGACTACCTCCACCTGGGACCTGGACAGCATACCAAAGGACAGAACTTTCTGGTGCACAAGATACACGTGAGATCCCACAGAAAGTAGCTAGACTGGCCTTAGGCTTTGAACTAAAGAAAACTTCCTCTTTCCCTCACCTTCTAGACACTTTCATAGTAACAATACAGTGAAGATTATCCCAGGGGCCCTGGCAAGTCAAAGCAACCTGCCAGGTACATCTAATGTCACCTACCTTGATGAGTATAGACATTGAGATATAGGCAAAAGATCTCTGGGGCCTGGAAACTGGTTGGGTCCTAGCTCTGCTACTAAAAGCTGTGGCAGAACGAGAAGGGGCAGAGACCCAGGAAGAGCAGAGAGCTTGCAGTTCCTGTTTATCCGTTCAACAAGTTTCCACACTGTGCTACATCCTGGAGACACAAAGATGAGTCAGACACAAGCTCCACCTCCAGGATCATGTGTCCCAGTAGTGAGGACGCACAAGAACATCCACGACAAAGCAATGTAGTGGATGTTATGCAGACACTCTGTACAAGGATAGACTATTGACTTGTGTCTCTCACTCACCAACCACTTGACCTTGCATTTAAGCCCAGGACATCCCCCTTCTGCGCTGACATTCCTCCTCCAAAAATGGGTTGGGAGGAGGGCTTCTGGATAATCTCAAAGACCCTCCCAGTCTGACATTCTTTGACTTGATATGACTCTGCTTCACTTATTTAACAAATCCTGATTGAATACCTACTGTCATAAAGCCCTATTCTCGGTGCCTTGATTTCCTGTTTCTCAAAAGGCAGCAAATAGTGCCTGCTCTACCTGATTCACTCATCCTAATGACCTTATAGATACTTTCGAAAAAGTCCACTGTCATAGAAATGCGTGGCAGCATTATTGAAATAAGAGGGTCCTTTTCTTTGGTTTGTTGTGATAAAACTTGCTCTAACAATCTTGTCATCTTGCATTAATGCGCAGCTAAACAAGCTTTCTTTCTGCCAAAAATGCCTCCATTAACAACACCCTGTTAAGACACAGCCAAAGCCATAACCTTTTTCACTTTGCCTTGACCCTCTCCTAACCCATCTTTTCATCCCCACCAGAGATTTTTCCTTTCCTTATAAAAAACAGGAAAATATCAACAGCCTTTTTATAAATTCTGGACAAACCCATTCTTCTTCCATCCACCAAGCTCAAGGTCATTGCTATCCCATTTTGTCACCCTCTCCTCCCTCTCCTGTTCTCCTTTCCAGAGACCCTTTGCCCCTAGGATTCACCAGCATGCCCAAGGTGCTCTGCACATTTTCCCTTCCATGCCTCATCCAAGCAGCACTCAAACTCCTGCTCTTTTCTTCTTAGCAAAACTGACCTATCAGACAGTTTCAAATAGGTCCGTCATCACCAAATTGGGGGGCGGGGAACCACCTACTCACCTAAGAGAGTCGACAACAGATGTTTAAACAAAAATTTGTATGTGAATTTCATAGCAGCACTATTCATAATAGCCAAAAGGTAAAAAATACCCAAATGTTCATCAACTGATGAATGAATAAACAAAATGTTATATCCATACTATGGAATACTATCCAACCCTAAAAAGAAATGAAGTACTGACACATGCTACAACATGAATGAACCTTGAAAACAAACAAAGAGAAAGAAGCCAGACACAAAAGGACAAATATTGTATGATTCCATTTATAGGAAACATCCAGAATAGGCAAATCTATAGGGACAAAAATCAGATTAGTGGTTGCCAGGGGCTGAAGGGAAGGGAGAATTAGGAGTGACTGCTTCACAGATAGAGAGTTTCTTTTTGGAGTGATGAAAAAATTCCGGAATTAGTGGGGCTGGCCCTGTGGCATAGTGGTTAAGTGCGCGCGCTCCGCTGCTGGCGGCCCGGGTTCGGATCCTGGGCGTGCACCGAGTCACCACTTGTCAAGCCATACTGTGGGGGTGTCCCATATAAAGTGGAAGAAGATGGGCACAGATGTTAGCCCAGGGCCAGTCTTCCTCAGCAAAAAGAGGAGGATTAGCATGGATGTTAGCTCAGGGCTGATCTTCCTCAGGAAAAAAAAAAATTTTGGAATTAGTACTGATGGTTGCACAACCTTGTGAATGTACTAAAAGCCACTGAATTGTACACCTTAAAATGGTGAATTTTATGTTATGTGTATTTTAGCTCAATTAAAAAATAAAAGAAGAAGAACCCATAAAAAACTTCACTAGTCCTGTGACTCATTCCCTTAGAGCCCTGAGAGGTAATGGACAGCTAATCTAATAATTTAACTCATGCCACGATGTTAACAGCTAACAGCATTTCACTGTTAGCCCTCCAAGAAACCATTTGCGTGTAAAGTCAATATTGCAATGCTTCTGCTATACATCCCATGACTATCTCAGACCTTCCCAGTAAATCTCTGCATTCTTCACCACATGAAACCCGGACGTGGCCCCAGAATCCTTCTCAATAGTGTTCCAAGCAAGCAGCCTCTGCCATGATCTCAGCTGGAATATGAGGTGAAATCTATTTCTGAGCGATCATTTGTCCCAGATTTGGCCAAACAGCTCTGTCCTATTTTTCTGATAACCTGTCAGATATGATCCCTAATTTCTAGTTTGAAAATAATGATATTTCTCTATTTATATGGGAGTTTCAGGAGCCAACTGGAGCGATATTATAGGATGTACAGTACCAAGACTTGTCTCATCCTTCAACTCATACCAATGGCCCAATGCCAACTCAGCCCACCAGTTGCGCCATGTGACTTAATGGGTTTTCCCTGATTTCCTCAAGAGCCACTTCCCAACAGCGATCTAGGCCAGAGCCCTCAAGTGTGCATATTTGAGTGTGTGTGTGCTGGTGTGTGTTTGGTGGAGGCAAAAGGGGCCACAAGGAATTCACAGGTTTGTTCAGAGAACTGGTAAGGCAGAGAAGAGAGGAGAAACAATCAAAGAAATCAAAGAAAATTGAAGGCAAGAGGGATCTGTCTGGTGCAAGGATCTCAGAACCTTGACTGTCAGTCCTGCTGATGAATAAATAAACTCTACTTGGATGAAAAGCCCTGGTAATCACCGTCAGAGGCTGAGCCAGGAAGTCCGTGGCTCCCCTCCTGCAGGGCCAAGTGCAGCTTTGTATTAAGGACGCTCTTTTGAGCCTCAGGCAACAGACTGCAGCAAGGGGCTGCCAAGGAGGCAGGACAGGACCAGGAATCAGCAAGAGGGTGAAACACTGCCATGTGTGTATCTGCGTGTCTGTGTCTGTGTCTGTGTCTGTGTCTGTGTGTGTGTGGTGGGGGGCACTTATCCTAATCAAACCGTGACTTTTCTCCTCTAAAAGCTGCATTGCTCTGATGGGAATATCCCACAGCTTAAATTACTAGCCCACGAATAGAACCACAGCCAAGAACACCACC